ACTCTTTTTTTTAATGCATTGTGGTTATTTATTATTTTAATCCCGTGTGTGCTTTTAATATTTTAAGGTTTTTTTCATTACTTGTGATTTTATTCTGTTTTTAATGTATTTATTGTTTGTATATGTAGTTTTTGATGTTTCTGATTTGTCTGATATTATGTGGGTTGTGAGGCGCTTTGAGTGGCCTTGTGTTGGAAAGGCTCCATACAAATAAAGTTGATTGATTGATTGATTGAATTAGAACTCTTCGATATGAATGTAACCAATTACTATCATTATTGTGAATGCACAATAGGTAGTAAAAAAAATAAAAATAATAGTTTTTAGGTAAAGGTATACCCTCATTTCATATTGTATATATGCATGGTATTTTTAATAGCCAAAGATACGCAAAGAATGAAAGAAAGAAAGCTACTTTGCTCAGAAAAAAAGTTACTTATGACTGAAACAAACATGCAGACGGCGTCATTTACAAGACGTCTGCAGGTGAGGATTAGCCCGTGCTGTGAAGACTCCCATTCGCTCCCACCCACAGCGCTCTCTGCATCTTCCCTGCACTTTCCATAGTGTCAGAGTTGCACTTGTAACAAAGGTGTGATTGCATTAAACCATGAGGGCATTCCCAGGGCTCAGCTAATGCAAGCGAAAGAATAGAGCGAAAGTGAGAGACCTGAGTGAGATGTGAGTGTGCGTGAACGAGGGAGGAGGGTCCATTAGGATAATCATTATACATCACTCTACATGTTTTCATGTAATCGAAAAAGTCAAATCTAACAAGCACAATGATGTAGATGCGCACAACTGTTTTAAGTTTATGCTCATTTGTCCGTAGTACGTGGGTAAGGTGCATGGGGCCATATTTTAGGAATGAATGTATTGTTGCAAGGAATGTAATAAATATATCTTAACATATCTTTAACATAAATATTTGAATAATGAGGTCAAAATCTGAATAAAAAGTGATACAGCCTAAACAAACAGCACACAAACACAACGTAAGAACAATAGGGAGATATACTTTAGAAGGAGGCAGAGGGGGACAGGGAATACCCTCAAGGAAAACAATCTCATGAAATCAAATCGCTCTGACCAATTAGTCTACTCTGCACTAGCAGAGACACAGATGATGTCACTTGTCATAACTCACTGTTTAATGCTCTCTACCAGAGCAAAAAAGAAGAAAGCTGCGGAAACAAACGCCTGTTATTGTCAACAAACAATGACCAAACAAATACCAACTGTAGCGGGAATTTAGACAGTAATACACAGTATTAAAGTAGTAAAAATACACATACCCTCACAAGTATCCTCCCATAAATTTATACTTATAGATATGGATGAGAGTCCATCAAAGTTGGGTTGTCTGACAGATTCTACAAGTGGCTTCTTTTTTTAACACTGGAGTGGGGTTTTTTGTACCTGGAAGACACCATGTCTTCCTCAGAGCAGTGATGTTCCTGTGACATGTCTTGTCAGCTGTTTTTACACAGTTTTTAGTGCCTCTGGTGGTAGGAAAACAGTGCCAAAAAACTGTGTAAAACAGCTGACAAGACACGTCACAGAAATATCTCGTGAGGAAGACTCTGAGGAAGACTATATTCCAGCAGTTGAAACTGCCAGGTAGGAAAAACCTCTGGTCAAAAAAAAAAAATCAACTTGGAGAAGATATGGGTGAGGAGGACGAATGACTGAGGACCAAGAATTACACAATAATGTAAAAATAGAAAAAGGAAAAACTTGCCCACTTGTAACAAGGGCAGTCTTAAAGCTACAAACATCCTTTCCTTTGCTGACACAGAATGTTCTGGCCCCTACTGTATGGCTCATTAGGAATGACCTCCGGTAACATGTTTTTCCAAGTTACAGTCAATACCCTGCAGCTTCACATGACATTTTACACTGCACTTGAAATACACACACACGTTTGCTATGACCTAACACACCAGGCTCTGTTCTATTTGTACACAACAGGGGCAGTAGTAGTATGTTAACTACAGGGAAACAATGGCCCATTTTAGCACGCAGACACTTAGCGATGTTTATCAGGATGTAGCAATGGAACATACCGGCTGATTAGCTCCAATGGGACAGGCCCCTGAACTCTGTGCGTGATTACAAGCATCACTTCAGCATCGCACCAGCGCACATGTGGCAGCTGGAGTTTCCAGTGTGCTGATGCTGATGGGACTACACTAAGGTTACACCAAATGTCATGTTATGTTATGTTTTAAACTTAAATGTTGCCCATGGCATTTTTTCTTACTTTGAAAAGCTATAATTTTATTGCACTTCATCCTTGAGTAACCTCTATACTAACCTGCTGTGTCTGTCCGTAGGCAGTGACGAGAGCATTTGGTAAGAGCAAGTACGTGTGTGAGAGAGTTTCCCTCAGTCTCCAAACACAATTCAATTCTAGAGTGGAGAAGAGTGGAGCCTGGATCAAATGAAACAGACAGCATCCATTACCAGGAGAGGGAGACGGGGAAATCCATACACACACCAAGGCGTAACAACCTAATGCAAAAAACCCCGTATGATAGCCCTGTGACAAGTTTGTTTGTAAAATGCACATGGACAAATACAAGTTTATAATGTGATGATAAAGTGCAGAGCGGCACCATCTGAAGTCTCTGTAGAAGCGCCATTACACAGAGCACAGCTGGGTTAATTGGTAATTTGACATTTTGAGATTACTGTGAGCTGTGAGCCGTAAGCTGTGTGAGTGGGTGGAAGTCAGATGAGCATCGAGAGGGGAAAAAGATTATGCTAAATTGACTGAATACACAAAGTTGTCAAATGTTCCTTGCAAATAAAAATATGGACGGTGATGATACATGCATTTATCTTATTGTACACAGACAATATAATAAGAAAAAGACAATAAAAGATCCAAACCCAACAACAACTATAAATCATTGTGATGTTAAAAATATAGTGCTCTCATAATTTAATCATACAAATCATAATTCAATGAAAATCCTAACCACAATCTTCACATCTGTAGAGGTCAACTACCAAAGCAGCTGATCCTAGTTTGTTTCTGTCTATGAGGATTTGTGACTCAATGTTAGGCACAAACCAAATAGATGGACCAAACAAGGACATGCAATTCAATTCAATTCAATTCAATTTCTTCTTGTATAATCCTAAATTACAACAACTGTTATCTCAGAGGAATTTACAAAACCGTTGAAATTGCCCAAACAGTTTTAACACAAAGATTAGAGAACACATACAGTACAGACCAAAAGTTAGGACTATTGACTGTAGATCCACACCCAGGCTGTTTAAGGGCTATTTGACCAATAAGGAGAGTGATGGGTGCTGGGCCAGATGACCCAGCCTCCACAGTCACCGGACCTGAACCCAATCCAGATGGTTTTGTGGCTGGACCACAGAGTGAAGGCGAAAGGGCCAACAAGTGCTCAGCATCATGGGAACTCCTTCAAGACTGTTGCACGACCATTTCAGGTCACTACCTCTTGAAGCTCATCAAGAGAATGCCAAGAGCGTGTGAAGCAGTAATCAGAGCAAAAGGTGCTACTTTGAAGAACCTTGAATATTTTCAGTTGTTTCATACTTTTTTTTTTAGTACGTGCATAATTCCACATGAGTTAATTCATAGTTTTGATGCCTTCAGTGTGAATCTATAATTTAATAGTCATGAAAATAAAAAACTTTTTTGAATGAGAAGGTGTGTCCAAACTTTTGGTCTGTACCGTCGGTATTGGTCCATAGGGGGGAGATGTTAATAAAGAATTACATTTAGATTTAATGACACTAAACATAGTTACAAGATACATATTAGAAACAACAAATAATAAACCATACAAACACGACAAGGGAGGAGGGAGAGAGGGTTTGGCCTGAGCAAGAGGCCTTCTGTTACATGGTGCGGTATCAAGAGAGGGTTCAGAGACAGAGAGAGCCTTCATCAGTCAGAGACGCCAAATATATTTCAGCCGTGATGTCACACACGTCACACTTGATTGGTCAAAGTCAGGGGGCTCAGCCAGGACACAGTGGCGCCCCCCCATGAAGAAGAAGGGCCATTGATAGCATCTAGAAAACGGCAAACCAACATTACCTCTGAACTCTGAACAATTGTAAAGCGCTTTGGTTGACCAGGGTCTGTAAAATGCGCTATATAAATAAACCTTACTTACTTACTGTACATACATTGAATATGAATATTTCAGATTCCTGTTTGATGCAATATTATGAATTTAGGACCCTTTTTTCCAAGAGTTTACTTGAAATGATGGCATTGGCATAGCATTGGAAAATTAAAGGTGTACAATATAGTTAAGAATTTTAGTGCTATAAGAAATACAATTGCAAATTCTAGTTTATCTCTTAAAAGATGTTGAAATGGAAGAGATAGAATATTTGCACCAGCTATTTCACACTTCCTCCAGCAGCACATGTGATTTATGTTCATTAGGTTACCCTGCTTCATTCGGGGATTGAAAAACTTAACATAACCTAACTCTAATTCCTTCTAGAAAATTATACCAACCACAGTTAATGTAGTAATTAGTCTAAATTTTCCAAAATATTCCAATGAAAGAACTTGGAGCACATCAAAGCAGCCCAAAGGGAAATATTATACAGCTGTGGTAAGTTATGCATTATTTTTACTCGCTAAAGGGCTAAAGAGTGAAAATATGCAGTGAGAGCAATATAGGAGTTTTTAGTAGTTTTTACTTCGGAATATCAGGAATAAAAAACAGCCCAGTGGAGACACGACGGGTGGGACAAATGATTCTCGCAACGAAGGGCAAAATGTGAAGGAAACAAAAAGTGGGGATTGGGCCTGTCTGTCGTCAGTAAGCCCCTCTGTTCATTCAAGTCTCGTCACAAGAGAACTGGTGAGACGCTGATAAAGGCAGACATGGCGCCGATGGGAGATACACACACAATAATGGAGGACTCAAAAACACACAAAATAATAATGGGGGAAAGTGAGAGCCATAAATGAGGTTGTGCTATCTCTGTACCTGAGCAGAGAGGATGGTACTTCTCGGGGGAGTGACAAGAGCCTTAGTTGAGTTGTGACAAAAGCCCGAGGAGATGACGAGATGTTTCCACCGCTGGGACGTCCCAGGTGCCTGCCCTGTGTGTCTGCGTCTGTCTGCCTGCAGCTGCACTCATTCCCTGTGGAGACAGGTGATAAACATGTAACCAGGTTTTGAACCAGGCTTTAGATATTGACAAGTGCAATATTCATAAAGCAAAAGTGTGCAATGATTAATTGTATAAATCATGTGGTTTTTTCATGCTTTGTGATTTGTTGCTAGAGTGACATTTCCCTGGTTCTGTGGCTGGAAAGAACAAAACACAACAAAAAGACAAACATGATAAATAAAGGCAAACATTCTATTTTCTACGTTTCCCAGATTTCCTTATGAAGAAATCATGAATACATTATGCAAGAATTTCACAATCAACTATAAATAGTATGTACTCTAATGACATCCCTGGTGCACACCGGGGTAGTCTTGCACAGTTTTTCCAATGTGGTTTTACTGCAAATGGCAAATAAATGAATCTGAATCTGAATCTGACCTAAAATATGTGTTTATATAAAATATAAATTGTTTGTGTCACAGTGCACTTTCATAGACTGTATGGTGTTTCTTTACAGTTTCCCCAGTGACTTTCTTTCTCCAATTCCCTTTTCGCAGCTCACTCGCCCATTCTCTGGAGTATTCAAAACAAACACCATCTCCATGGCAACCACATTTTGTTTACCCACAGGAGACACTGGTTAGAGACGGCCTGTTGTAAATGCTTGTTTGGGAGGACATTTTTCATGAGCTTTTATAAGCTGAAGACTTGTTTCAATGTGACTTATGATGCCTCCGGATGCTTTAAAGCAGTGAGAGCCAAAAATAAGGAGTAAATACATCTTATGCAAGATGGAGTTGATGCGTTTTGTGCTAGGATCAAAGCCGATATTTAGTTTTCAGAGCTAATTCCACATTAGGTGAGAGGACATGTGCTCCTCACTGTCTGTTCACAGCACTGTGGTTCACACCAGTGCATATGATGCTAATACATTCACTATGCAATAAAGCTGAAAGAAAAGTTCAACATTATTTCAAGTTAATTAATTCATCAATATTAAAGGTTTGGGTTAGGGCTAGGGTTATCCTCATCTTTGAACATTATCATCAATGATTAAATGGTAAAAATGTTAAAAAGAAAGTATTATAAACAATTGAAGGCAATTGACTCTTTCTCAGCACAATCAGCATAATATTGTTAGTGTCTCGCTTTCATGATGCAGAACTGCAACCCAGACACTGGAAGATGTTGCCATGGAAACACAATACACTGGTCCCAAGGTCAGTGGGTGGAGCTGAACCCCAGAACCAGCCAAAATCAGGTCAGAGCCTCGAGGACAGAAACTGAGCCAACGTCTTCTTGTAGAGACAACCACCCCCAATATGCAAATATGAACGCAGCAAAGTAAACAACTACTGAAGACAGAATATAAAACTAAATACATTGATCTGACTAAAAGAACAAAAAGTAAATAAATTATTAAAAACTCTAGAAGTAGGGATATGATTACAGGTATGTCAAATTTCTGGGTACAAGTGGCCGTGATCATAGTCACCGTGACACAAATCTGAAGCCTGGCCTGTTCGGGTCATCAGCTAATCTCCAAAACAACAACTTTAATTTAATTTACATACTGGGGTCATGGAGGCCAACCAGTGACATCTACGATCAAAGTGCTGAGTGGCAGAAAGAGGTGGAGACTCCACAGTAGGGCTGAAACTAAAAATTCAGTCGATCAAAGTAATAGATTACAAAAAAGCTTTAATTATAATAATAATAATTATTATTATTATATAATTTTAAACAATTATTTTAACCAGCACTTTTATACAGAATTTTTTCTGCCTCGTAAAAATACTGCTCGGAAGAAGGATTTGAGAATTAAGGAGTTAAGAAATATTTTTTTTTCTAAAATATGTAATTCATATGCAGTTAAGAGTAAAAAGTTACTCCTCTAGTTAATCCATGAACGTAGCACCTATGAATTAGAAGGTAATAATTGATAACAATTCTTGATCCAAATCGCGCTACATGAGGTCATCATCATCATGTCTATATAAATATAGCAATGAACTTTCCTCTTGCGTATGCCGTCTCCCTGCATAAGTCATGCAATATTTCTCTGGGTCAAAGCGTTTTCTATGTTCTTAAATTAGGCCATGGAGACTCTTCAAGTATTACTATCATATTGTGAAAATTCAAAATCATATCCATTATTATTCCTAGATTTAAAATTTTGCACAGATGAATTTATATCCACAAATGTCTCTATTTTGGACACTTTGAGCTTTGAGCTGCTCCAATAAAGAACAAATGTGATGCATTATTTATATTAATTTTGGCCCATAAAACAAGATCTTGAGTTTACTTTGGCATCTGAAGTGAAAAAAATGACAAGATGCACCAACATCTCCATCTAATGGGAGGTGATCTTTGAAAATACACCAATGTTTGTGCTGATTTCTGTGATATTAGCATTAGCAGAATATGGTTAAAAGCGAAGATTTTTTTTTTTCATAATGCACTCTCTTTATCTCTTAATAAGTACTTTGTTATTATATGGAAACAGCAAGGCAAGGCATGTTTATTTGTATAGCACAATTCATACACAAGGCAACTCAAAGTGCTGAACAAGATAGCATTAAAATCATAAATAATCACAGAACATTAAAAAGAAAGATAAAAATATAAAATCCCTCAGTTGTATGCACAGCTAAACAGCACAGTTTTTAACTTGGTTTTAAACATAGTCAGAGAGGAGGCCTGTCTCACATCTTCAGGAAGAATGTTCCAGATTTTAGAATGTTCCAGATTTTAAGCGTGTTTGCTGTTGGTGTATATTTTTCTGGCGTTAAGATATTGCATGTGAACAGCTGGTAAAGACCTTATGTCATTGCGTGAGGGTTGCATGTGTGTGGATCCCGGGTGCTGCTCTATAATGAGGGGCAGAGCGGGATACGTTTCCAGATTACACGCTGACCCAGCTCGTCTGGCTAATGCTTCTGTTACAACCAACAACATTCACACTGACACAGCAACTCATGCAACCGGGCAAGGTTTTCACACAACTTTATGGTCCATCATAAAACACATGGCTGCTGCATGAAAAATAATATGTTTTATCTAATAAAACAAACCCAAAACTAAATAAGACCGGCTTTAGTTTACATGATTAAGTAAAAGGAAATTATTACTTTGACAGTAATAATCATGCATCAATTATACAAAGCGCTTTATGGACACACTGAGTAAATGAAAACCAGACTCATTCTACTCTATAGTGAAATGCAGCCTTCGGACACAACAAGACTTTGGCATTTTACAGGTACCTGAAGTTCTAAGCGGTCTCCCATCACAGTACTAGCCCAGGGGTTAAAGCAAAAAAAAAAGATTTGACTGAAAATTTTTGCATGGAAATTTATCACATGTAAATCTCAGTAATATACAGGACCAAGTTATATTTTTTATTACAATATATTATTGTATAATAGATTGTATATTGAATACAGCTCAAATGAATTCTTCAAAGATATACAGTGTATTTTGATATGAAATATAAGTGGATCAAGCAACGAGTAAACTTTTTGACAGAATATTAGTGAGAGTAGCTTTACTTGAGGCGATATGGAGCGTCAACACTTTGGCTCTGTCCTCGTCAAAATATTGCAAAAGGACGATACAATTCTGTCCACATTTGTTTGTGGACACGTCAATATTTAAGAAAAAGGTTTCCCTATCAAGTTTGAGTGCACAGTGCACTTCGATCAACTGCAAATGATTTAAATAAATGTACCAGCGGTAGTGACATTCTGAATGTTATTTTCTGCGATAAACCAACAGACACGGTCCGCCAGAGCAAGCCTAGTGTTAGTTGTTGCTGATGCACCAGGTAAAGATGAAGTGTGGGAAAGTGCACAAACAGCTGCCTTGTGCGCAGTTTTGAGCTGGTGGCGAATCAAAACTTTTTTCTCATTACTCCCATTATGCAATTTTTTATGGCAAAGTACGCACAAGCACCGGCCACTTTCATCTTTTCGCACCATGACTCATTGATTGGCTCTTTTACATCACGCTGAGTTTTGCAAGAAGATCGCAAACAAGACAATATCAAAAGCTCACCAAGACATGTTTGTGACCCATTCCCAGTTGCAGCAAAGTCCGTTTTGTACATTCCATTAAGTAAATAGCATTGCGTTTGGTAAACGTTAATTACCTTTCGTCTATTACGCGCCCAGCTTACCAGTCCGCGGATCTGCTGCTGTTATCGCTCCGTTCGAGATTCAATTTTCCTCCTCTTCTCCTTTTCAAAAGCTCCGTGCAGTTTCCAGAAACTTTCACCTCCGTGTTACCAATGCTAACTTCATCGCGTCTTCATTTGCGCGTGAGCTCAGCTACGTCCCATTGCCTTGATTCATTTGCGGAGCGCTCATGTAGCTAGCAACGGCACGTTCAAGGCCCACTCGTCATTATATTACTTATTATTTCTATATACATATAAATACAATTATATTCAAATTATTATTATACATCGATATATATATATAACAGATTCACACGTATATGTATTACTATATATTATTTTTATAATCAATCATTTCATTGTGTGTATTATTATCATTATATATATATATATATTTTTTTTTTTTCCAGACCAATTTCATTTGACGGAAATCCGTCACCTAGACGGAACTCTTTAATCCCTGTACTGGCCCTACTCTACTTTCACAAGCAGATATGTTCACTGATCGTACTGAATTACGATTGAATTTTTTCCTCAGATCTTTTCAGAAAACCTAATACTCAGCAGCTTCTTTTTGAAACATGCAGCTGTGTGTTCTTTGGACAAAGTATAATTGTCAGATAAGCGCTTTTCATGACCAGAAAAGTCATATTGATCTATACTGTGAGGAAAGCAGACTCCAAAAGAAACATGAGATAGTGTTATGAAACTTTAGCACAGGTCAAAAGTCGGCATATATCCACTGCCACTGTGCTTGTGTTTACCTGCAGCTCGCTTATTAACATCACAAGACTATGTGTAAATCCTGTTAGTAGAAAATATCATTTGCAACATAATTCCCAAATAC